ATTTTAATGTTCTGTGTTATTGTCATCAGTTGTCAAACAAAAAAAACGGTAATCAAAGAATTGAGTGTGTAATTAGCGTGAAGTGAACAATCGAAAATGAGTCTAGACAAGTCGAAGATACCTAAACTAAAGGATAGCTCTCGAAAATTTATACCAAAGAAACAAATAAAACCGATGAACAACCCTTTTGTAGTAAGGATTGCATGGGCTCGGACCAACAAAGGGAAGAAAGTTTCAGGCTGAATGGTTGTAGAGATCTATCCGAGGCCCGCCCTGGATGATAATCGGGCGGAACGTGGAACGGAAGGGAAGGGCAACAGAAGGTTGGCAAAAGAATCTACTCCAGTAGAACAAGGCCACGAATTTGCCACTCCCACCGGGACTCTAGATCGAGAGGAGATATCGGAACTGTCCGACACCTCGACTGAAAATCTAGCAACAACAAGACCACCCACTGACAATATCATGATGCCTGGGGTGACAGAGAAAACGGCAACGTCCTCCTCGTTTTCAGAACGAGTGAAGAACACTTTGGGAAACTTCTTCCCATTTACTAGAGTGATGAATCAGAAACCCAGGAAGAGGAGGAGGACAATGACGAGGTAGGTGACTTCGAGACTCAAGTAAGCCTCAACAGTTCGACCCATGAGAATGGAGCATCCACCAACAGGAAGACTGGTTCTTCCGATCAGTTTGGCGTGGTCAGGACAATCAACAAGACTATAGATGGAAGACAGCAGGCAAAAGAGCTTATGACCGTGACAAATTCGGAGGTGCAACCCGGAAAGAACAGGAACACAGGGTCAAATAACTCGGATAATAAAGAAACATCGAGACAGAGATGTAAAATTCGAGTCTCGACGAGCACTGAACTACCTGGAACCGATAGGGTGACGCCACCACTAGTCACGCCATTATTGGACAACGGGGCATCAATCGAAGAGGCCTTGTCCAGTATAGAAGACTGCATAGGTGAGCAGAATGAACAGATGTCCCTAAGAATTAGTGAACTGGACAAAGCAATTCACGTCGAGAGAGAAAACTTGCGGGAAGAGATCAACTGCAATAGACAAGAAGTCAGCAGAAGCAAAAAACGCTTGGAGGAAAGGACGAATGAATACTTGGCCGACAATTTGTTGCGAATGACGAGGGAAGCTGAGCAAAGAGAGACACCACTGAGATATTATATGGAGAAACTACGAGTCAGCAAGAGCAGACAATTGGGACTCTCGACACGAGAAAAGACGCGATGATGGAGAGGCGCACTCAGGCTATCATGGATAGGTTGGATGGGCTCCTAGGAACCAGGAGCGGATCGAGGATTGTGGAAACAAACTCAGGAAAAACCAGCAGGGAGCCGAGAGTGAACTTCAATGAACAAACCAAAAGAAGAAGGACATATGGATCCACGAGAGGAAGGGGCAGTTCATCCAGCCATGCGACAGGGGACAATAGGCCGCGGGGCCCAAACATCAGAGGAGGTTCTACTGGCAACAATCCGACCTCAGACGAACGACCGACGCGAGACGCAAATGAGACTGGAAGATGTGATTCGACAAGCTGGAGCCATGCCAATCACAAAAGAAGTCAACCCAGCGACTCGAACAGGAGGGAAATTCCGCAGCCTCCATCAGAGGGCAACAATGATCAAGCGGGGCATTCACGTGATGCAACGGCAATGGCTACAGCGTATGAACATCTGAACAGGTCCTTGGAGACTTTCCTAACGAGGTTATCTAGGAGCAGTGAACGCAAAGAGAAGTCCCGAAGGGTATTCAAGAAACCAAGATGCTATAAAAATGAATCTGACGGCTGTATAGATACCTGGATAGAGATCATGAAGCTGCATCTTGAGGAAGAAAACTTGACAGAAAGACCAGAAAGACAAGAAAGCAGTGCGCTCACCAGCAACCTGGATCGGACAGCCCTAATTGCGCAATGGTCAAAAAACAATACCATCTTTGAAATCGTGTTGAATCGTTTTGGCTCAGGGGTACAAGGTCACCAAGTATTTATCCGCTTCGAAAAACGGAGGCAACGTGAAGACGAAACGAAGACAAGTTCTTAGCTGATTTAGAAATGCTGAGAAGGCGTAGTCAACCAGATGAATCAAACAGCAGGAAGAACCTAGCAGTAGCATCAAAATTCATAAATGGTGTGAAGAACGATGAACTTAGAACAATGTTAGCAACGCATTATACACCTCTCTCAAACAATGCGCCGACACCGGAAGATTTGCGGCTGAACTCCAAGAAGTATCTGTTTTTAAACCTACTATTGGATCAGGTTATTACAAAAACATTTATGGCTATTTCAATAATGGACCTGTTAACCAGGGTAACAACTGGTACAAACCTAGGGACGACATGGACAATAGACGCTCTTGTGCAAACTGCAGTTCGACGGATCATCACGTATTAGCATGCCCAACCTACAAACAAGGTATGAAGGCGATAGGCTTGGGTCTCGAAGATGAGGATGCGGCAGAGGTCGATCATGAAGATTTCATGAGAGGAGTGATTGCAAAATTCGGCCCCACGTGTTTTTTTTGTAGCTACAGGGAGGGTCAATTTAAATCAGATTGTCCACAGTTTTGAGATTCTGTGGCAGAAATCAAGCATTCAAGGCATGAAGAAGCTTTATCGGCTGTGAAAGCTAGCAAGGCACGCCTGATGAGTGAGACGGAAGCCCGCAGGAAAGAGAAACCGCATGAGCTGGCTACGAAGAAAATGCAGGCGGTGTTAGAAGAAACGTGTGAACGGGAGCCTGGAACCACAGCAGACGTTTTTAAGATCGACTATAAGGCAGCAGCGAGAGATGCCTTAAACAGAGTCCAAAAGGAATTGGTGACAAGGGAGATAGAACAGAAGCTAGAATTAGAAAATGAGAAAAATCAAGAAAAGCTAAACGCCTCTGAAGCATCGGAGATGGAAGAAACAAAAGCACTGAGCAGTTTGACCATGAAACTGAATGTAATCTCCGGGCAGACATTCGGTATGGTGCCACAAAGGAGCAAAATACAGTCATTAATCTCAGTGGCGGGACATCAGGTGATCAGGAACCTAAGTGAGCCTTCAGAGTTCACTTTAAGGCATTTGGACACATATGCGGACTATCTGAGACAGGTAGAGCCATGCACTGAATCGAGGGCTGCGCGAGCGTTGTTAACAACGAGTGGCACTCTTATAAAGAAACTTCACGGGCGCTATGTGGAAGTCTATGGACCATATCAAGTCATGTTGAGCGTGGACGGGATCAGTATCTATACTAAGACCTAGGTCACAACAGACAGTGACCAAACAAGACAGATCGTTTTTGGTCAGGAAGATCTTAAAGTCCGTAAAATCGGTCATGACGCCATGAAGGAGCAAGATGCGGTGAACACTGGGTACGAGGCAGATGTGACTGCACATCTGCTAGACACCAATGGAAAGAAAATTGGAGTAACAGGTCTTCTAGATACAGGGTCATTGATTAGTGTATTGCCAGTGAAGACTTGGGAGGGAATGGGCTTCAGAGGGCATGACTTATTTCCAACGAATCTAAGATTGTCAGCCGTCAGGAGCAATTTACGTGGCTGGGAGAACACTGATAACAGTCCTCCACATTGGAGGACAAAATCTATGGATGAGTTTCCTTGTGGTAGAGAACCTGGACGATTCAGATCACTTCATTTTGGGTCGCGACTTTCTCAGAAACTTCGACGTGATGATCGACCTGATCAATGGACTGATTAGAATTAGGAACCCGTACAGGAAGTATGCTAAGAGACCAGTTAACAGAATATCAACTGATGAAAATAAGATACCAATTTTTTTAGACAGAAAAGTGAAATTACAGCCCGGTCAGGCAGTAGTAGCTATTTTAGGATGAGAAACTTGACTTCTTTTAGTTATAGTAAGCAGGTTTGCTTGGTACTCAACCCAAACAGTAAAAGTTCAGTAGTTTTAGGCTTTTCTGTAACACGAAGCGTGCTGTGTGTGAGTGTATTGTGGAATACACTGGACACAACAGTTTCAATCCAGCGTGAAAGGGAACTTGGCTACGCTTTGCCAATGAGAAAGGATTATGAAGAAGAACCGCACTTGAAAAAATTCCATGAAAGACTATCCCTTTCATGCTGATTGAAGGAGATCCTAAAAAGGATTATTGAGTTGAAATCTTTGAAAAAAATGTTTTCAATGAGATCCGAAACGGATGACGGCCTGTCGAATTGCTCCAATTTTCCGGAAAGCCCTTTGTCATATGAACTAGAGATAGAGCACTTGAGAGGTAAGATATGTGAGGGAGAGTTCAAGTCACTAAAAGAAGTTTTAAATCGGAACGCGGACGTTTTTCAAAACATAAGGCGGATATTGGTTGTGGCAATTTCGTCGAGCACAAAATCGGACTAGAGGAAGGCGCCCTTCCCCACAGGTAGGGCGCTTGACACCACATAAATTGGAAGCGTGCCGAGCGAAAATAGAAATGTTGCTCGAATACGACATGGTAGAACCCTCAAAGTCACCTTGGGCTTGTGAAGTTGTCATGGCTATAGAGAAAGGGGGACAGCTTAGATTCTGTTGTGATTTTTACTACCTGAACGCGGTGACCATAAAGGACGCTAACCCAATACCACGCATAGACGAGAGCCTCTCGAGACTAGGCGATGCCAATTTTTTTTTACTACACCGGATCTGGGTTCTGCCTTCTGGCAGGTTCCTCTGCGAAACAGGGACAGAGAGAAGATTAGGTTTGCATGCGAATTGGGTTTGTTCCAGTGGAAGAAGATGCCTTTGTCTTGTGCAATGCCACGGCGACCTTTCAAAGACTGATGGCTCAGGCTTTAACCAGGATATTAAAGAAGTACTGGAATCTCGTGATGTGCTACGTGGATGACGTGGTCATAGCGACACCAACCTTCGCAGATCACATCGGCAGATTGCATGAAGAAAGCCGGCAGGAAATGCAAACCGTCGAAATGTGAGATCCTTAGGGGCTCGATCAAATACCTGGGAAGAATGGTAGACAGGCATGGCGTGAGGCCGGATCCGGATGCGGTGGAGGCCGTGCTGCCATGGAAGGCCCCCAGAACGGATACACAGCTCATGAGTTTCCTGGGATTTGCCAATTATTACCGCGAGTTCATACAAAAATACGCTGACAAGGTGTACCCAATGCAGCAATTTTTGCACAACAAAGGGAAAATGTTCGAATGGAATGAAAGAGCTCAGGAAGCTTTCAAGAATATAAAGCGGGAACTCTGTGAAGCGCCAGTGCTAGGCACGCCCACGGAGAAAGGCATGTACGCTCTCGACACTGATGCTCCAGTACTAACCATTCCAGGAATACTACATCAGGAGCAAGGAATGGGAGAACAGTTCTCCGTCCCATTGCATATGGCAGCAAAGTGTTGGGCGACACTGAAATGAAATATGGTGCATCAAAAGCAGAAATGTTTGCGGTAGTCATGTTCTTGGATAAGTACCGCGCATACTTGTTGAGCGCTCCCTTTTTGTTGCGTGTGGATAACAGAGCCCTTTCCTGACTGAAGACGTACTTGATGGACCAGAGTTATATCGTTCGTTGGATTTTCTGGTTGGATGGCTACCACATGAGAATCGAGCCCAGGATGGGTGACATGCACTAAAATGCTGACAGTCTTATTAAGAAGACCAATTTTTCTGAGAGACTAGAACAGAAGCAGGCCAATCAGGCGGAAGTCATGGACGGATTCTCGTTTCTGGACAAAGAAACTTATGAAGCACTTCCCATGATGAGGTGGTTGGACAAGTCAGGACATCCAATTCGAGGACACCCAGAATTACCAGTGGAGAAAGCAGCAGAAAAAAATATCTTATCAAAAAGGGACCCAGTGCCCTTGGATCTGTGCTACGTTCGAACCTGGTCCAACAGGAACAATCCCGTATGAACATAAACAGCTTCTCATTGCTATACAACAAGGTGCAGGTCACATCACAAGTAATGCGGATGCTGGGTGGATCAATAGAGAGAGAAGTGACTAGAAATGACCCCGAATGGGCAGCAGCCATAGCATTGCCGACAGTCAGTGAGAAGATACAGATAATACCATCAAGAAAACGAAAAGGATTGCAGGACGGTAATTCAGCAAATGGTATTATCGATTCCACAAAGCGTTTGGTGAGAACATCATACAAGGAAAAAATACAAAAGATCGGAGCTCAAAAGAAGATTGTCGTCACTTTTGAGGAACCTGACAATGATTGGATGGAAGTTGAATCGGAAAACGCGGAACACGAGAATTTTTCGGGGGAGTCGGATGTTGAAGAAAATGGTCATGTAAATGAACAATACCAGACGAACCAAATCTTGTCCGGGAAGTTTAGATGGCTGAGCAGAACGTACAAGTTGGAACCTGCGGTGGAGGCGTGCTCCCTGACAGACTCATCAGTTGGCAACCCCTCGAGGAATTCAGAGATCGACACCTACTCAGAGAAGAACTCGAGCAAAGGATCAGAAATGTCAGAGTTAGAGATACACATAGCAAAGCCAAAAACATAAAAAACAACCAAAAAAAACAAAAACAGAAAAAATATAAAATCAGTAGAAATCATCCCCCCAGCCGAGATGTGATCCGACCCTCCCGTTTGTTGTTGTCAGATTTATTGTTGTTACAGGCATTTATATCAAGCAAGATTGTTACGATCAAAATTGTATTAATATTAATACTATTTATACTGCCTGTAATAAAACTCATTTATCGTTTTTCAGTGAAAAACACAGCAAACAGACCGGGTTTAGGGTCAAATTAGTGATATTTTAATCCTCCCACATATCGCGATTTTTGAGATATCGATATTTTTTGAAAGGTAAAAAAGCGCAAAATTAGTGAGTTACACTGTTCGGACGCGGTTGGAACTAATTGGGTGCCGAAATCCGAAATTTTGTGGTTTTTCAAAAAACAAAAAGATACAAAATAAGAATTTTTTTGAGATAGAGCGATAAAAAATTGTTGTTCAGAAAACATACACTAGTGAAATGACGGGCCACGGTGAAATTGAACTTAACGTATTTGATTTAGAGGATTTATCAATTCGGAGGGGTCCAAATAGCATTTTTTTGACAAATGTTTTCAACTGGAACGTTTTATATGGGGTTTTTTTTTGCAACCAACTAGAAGACTAAAGGCCTTCTGAGCTCGGATCAATACATTTTAGGTCAATAAGACAGGAATTGCTAAAAAAAATTAGGCAGAACCTTCAAGTTTGAAAACATTTTGACTTCGCAGAAAAGATGTTTTGGTTAATAACTTTAGAACTACTCAAATCCAATTAATCATGGTACCGATTGAACAGAAATTAAACAGGCTTACCCATGAACTAATTGTTTCGAGAAAAAAAGTGAGCATAACAAATTTTAAGGTTAATTTTAGCAAAACTACCAATCTGTGAAGGTAGACACTTCACGTTTTGTAGAAAAAAAATTTTAGAAAGCCCCTATACCCCTACCAAACGGTAGTAACGGTTAAAAAAGGCAATTTTACGTTTTTCTCGATGAAAACGGAGAGCTAAGAAACCCAGAAAACGATATTCGAGTCAAAGCTAGGCTAGTTATAAGACCCTTCACAGTTAAGGAAAAATGTCAAACAAGCAGCTTAGCTTCAATCCGGAAGGTTCTAGGGCCGGAATTTACCCTTCCTGATTAGTATATATAGCATAATAAGTACTGAGACCGTATCAGAAGGGTCTTGGGTGTGATATTTGAACAACACGGAAAGGCTATTTTTACAAACCCTGAGGGGTCCCAAATCGGAGGGTCCTGTTTTTGCCAACCCGGTAGGGTCCTTTTTTCGCCAATCCCAAAAGGTACCAATTTTGTCATTTCGGAAGGGTCCTATTTTTGCCAATTCGAAAGGGTCCTAATTTTGCCAATCTGGAAGAGTAATAATTTTGGCAATCCGAAGGGGTCCCATTTTTGTCAATCGGGAGGGATTTTCATTTCGCCAATCCGGAGAGGTCCCAGAAATATCATTTTTTCTTATAAAACGAACGTGGTTGTAGGAATCCTAAAACGTACCTAGACGAAAGTGAGATACATAGTGGTCTTAGGATATTAGGAATCAGGCTAGACACCAATGACTGCACTGGTAACTTGCCTTAAATTAAAATTTGAAAAGATCATAGTAAAACAAAACAGGTCTAAGCCCGGAGATTCTTGACTCTAAGTCTAATTGAAAACAGAGTTCGACACTGATTGGTGTGGATGAAAATCTTAACAATTTTGTTTAGAAAAAGTGGTTGCCTTGAAGATTTCAGTAGGTCTAGCTCGGGAAATTCGAAGTCAGATAGGTAACACAGGAATTGGTGGATGAAATAGTCACACACTTGAGAAAAAATACTGCCTTTAAGTTTTGTCTGTTTAGTGTTGCACTAAACAGGGAAAGCTCTTTCTTTAGAAACATGTTCGACTATCGAATTAGGACAGACCAAGTGAAATACACATACATTTTTTGGAAATAAATATAAATGTATATATATATATATATATATATATATATATATATATATTATGTTTATTTTTTTATATATATATGTATATATATATATATATATATATTTATATATATTTATATATATATATTTTAGCTTTCTCCGTTTTTGGTTTTAAATCCTCAATAATTTTTCTTGATTGGGTAGTGAGTACACTATCTTTTAGCGATATTGATATCATCAATCTGTGCTAGTTTTACATCCATTAACCAATAATCAATTGTTGTGCATAAATTGTATACACGCTGTACTGTTATAACCTATAAAATTTCGTGGTTACTATTTGAGTGAAACTTTTGGATTTTAATGTTCTGTGTTATTGTCATCAGTTGTCAAACAAAAAAAACGGTAATCAAAGAATTGAGTGTGTAATTAGCGTGAAGTGAACAATCGAAAATGAGTCTAGACAAGTCGAAGATACCTAAACTAAAGGATAGCTCTCGAAAATTTATACCAAAGAAACAAATAAAACCGATGAACAACCCTTTTGTAGTAAGGATTGCATGGGCTCGGACCAACAAAGGGAAGAAAGTTTCAGGCTGAATGGTTGTAGAGATCTATCCGAGGCCCGCCCTGGATGATAATCGGGCGGAACGTGGAACGGAAGGGAAGGGCAACAGAAGGTTGGCAAAAGAATCTACTCCAGTAGAACAAGGCCACGAATTTGCCACTCCCACCGGGACTCTAGATCGAGAGGAGATATCGGAACTGTCCGACACCTCGACTGAAAATCTAGCAACAACAAGACCACCCACTGACAATATCATGATGCCTGGGGTGACAGAGAAAACGGCAACGTCCTCCTCGTTTTCAGAACGAGTGAAGAACACTTTGGGAAACTTCTTCCCATTTACTAGAGTGATGAATCAGAAACCCAGGAAGAGGAGGAGGACAATGACGAGGTAGGTGACTTCGAGACTCAAGTAAGCCTCAACAGTTCGACCCATGAGAATGGAGCATCCACCAACAGGAAGACTGGTTCTTCCGATCAGTTTGGCGTGGTCAGGACAATCAACAAGACTATAGATGGAAGACAGCAGGCAAAAGAGCTTATGACCGTGACAAATTCGGAGGTGCAACCCGGAAAGAACAGGAACACAGGGTCAAATAACTCGGATAATAAAGAAACATCGAGACAGAGATGTAAAATTCGAGTCTCGACGAGCACTGAACTACCTGGAACCGATAGGGTGACGCCACCACTAGTCACGCCATTATTGGACAACGGGGCATCAATCGAAGAGGCCTTGTCCAGTATAGAAGACTGCATAGGTGAGCAGAATGAACAGATGTCCCTAAGAATTAGTGAACTGGACAAAGCAATTCACGTCGAGAGAGAAAACTTGCGGGAAGAGATCAACTGCAATAGACAAGAAGTCAGCAGAAGCAAAAAACGCTTGGAGGAAAGGACGAATGAATACTTGGCCGACAATTTGTTGCGAATGACGAGGGAAGCTGAGCAAAGAGAGACACCACTGAGATATTATATGGAGAAACTACGAGTCAGCAAGAGCAGACAATTGGGACTCTCGACACGAGAAAAGACGCGATGATGGAGAGGCGCACTCAGGCTATCATGGATAGGTTGGATGGGCTCCTAGGAACCAGGAGCGGATCGAGGATTGTGGAAACAAACTCAGGAAAAACCAGCAGGGAGCCGAGAGTGAACTTCAATGAACAAACCAAAAGAAGAAGGACATATGGATCCACGAGAGGAAGGGGCAGTTCATCCAGCCATGCGACAGGGGACAATAGGCCGCGGGGCCCAAACATCAGAGGAGGTTCTACTGGCAACAATCCGACCTCAGACGAACGACCGACGCGAGACGCAAATGAGACTGGAAGATGTGATTCGACAAGCTGGAGCCATGCCAATCACAAAAGAAGTCAACCCAGCGACT